GCTAGAATAGCAAAATCAATCCTGGGCAATGAAGTCAAGGCAAAATGCATCACAACCCCTGACTTGAAGTTGTACTACAAAGCAACTGTGATAAAATCAGCATGGTACTGGCAAAAAACAGACCTGAGGATCAGTGGGACAGAGTAAAATGTTTAGACCCAACTATGAACACACTCAGTCACCTTATCTTTGACAAAGGGGCCAAACATGTTCACTGGAACAAAAGATAGACTCTTGAGTAAATGGTGCTGGAAAAAGTGGCTCTCTAAACTGGATCTAAAACTAGACCCAGGTCTACCACCATGCACTAAAGTCAAAATGGATCAAAGATCTAAATATTCAAACAAATACCTAATCTACTGGAAAAGAAAGTAGGTATAAATAGTTAAGACATAAGTGTAGACAAAGAATTCATAAACTAAAATAAAACTGCACAGGAAATACATCAAAGAATCAACCACTGGGATCTTTCATCTTTTTAAAAAATTTTATGCACCCAAAACAATCACCAACAGAGTGAAAAGACATTCCACAAATTTTAGCCAACTGTCTCTCAGATAAAGGGCATATAAAGAACATATAAAGAATTTAAAAATGACTCCCCACACACAAATTCAAAGACCCAATCCAAAAATGGGCATTGGAGGTGAATACATACTTACCTGACGAAGAAATACAGATGAAAAATAAGAATATGGAAAAAATATTCAACATCATTTGTCATTTGACAGATGCAAATTAAAACAACACTGAGATTCCATTTCACTCCAGAAAGAGTGGCCAATATCAAGAAATCAACTAATAACAAATGCTGGAGGAGCTGTAGGGAAAAAGGAATCCTTCTGCATTGTTGATGGGAGTGTAGACTAGCACAACAATTCTAGAAATCAGTGTAGAGATTCCTCAAAAATCTAGGATTAGAGGTCACATTTGACCCAGCTATTCCCCTTCTGAATATTTTCCCAGAAGGTTTAAAAATATCATACCGCAATGATAGATGTGCACCCATGTTTATAGCAGCACCTTTTGAATTTGGCCAGAAAGAAAGCTCCAGTAAAGTTGCGGCCTGAAAATCAAAAGCACAAATCTAGATTACTGAGAAGGAACAGGAGAGTAGAGAAGATCAGCTAAGGGCATCACAAGAACCAGCAGGACTCCACTCTTTGCAGCTTTGAAACTGTAAAAGCACAAGATTTTGCTTTGAGAAGAAAGTCACAGAGTACTTTATTTCAGAATGCTGATAGTCTAGAGAATTTGTTTCTCTGATTGCATTTTCAGCAGTCCAGGTACTTGACCCCTACAGGCAAGAGAGGAGGAAGAGAATAAGTCAGCATCTCCTGAGATCCAGCCATTTTGGAACTTGGGGAGCTGAACAAGGAACAAGAAGTCCTCCCTCCTGGTAAGCAGCGGCATGAGTGAGCAGGATGCACCAGGAAGAGAACAAGTCAGCGTCTCCCGTGAGCCTATCAAATGTCCCATGCCCCCCTTCCCATTTAGCAACTGGAAGGTGTCAAGACGGCCAGAGTTGACAGCAACTAAGGCACATAAAGCACTAAATGTTTGTATTGCTCAGTTGATTAGGCTGACCTGCGGCAGAGGTCTGAGCAACTCTTGGGAAGATAATCATATGTAATATAGCAAATATGGGAGGTTTCCTTCTGTCTTCTCTTTGAAGGCAAATATTGCTTTCACTGTTTTTGCTTTGTTCTGATCAATGGTCTTGCTCTATTCAATATTCTGTTTTGAGAGGTTTTATAATGTTCTGGTTTTGGTTTGATTTTGCTATACCTGATTGAATGAACAACTATTGTGAAGATAATCAGATACACTATGGAACCTATTACTGTTATCCCGGTATCCTACTGTGAAGTTCTGTAGCAACTTCACCGCATTGTCTCGACTGGCTTTGTTCTGTCTTATTTTGTTGTATTTTGCTACATTCAAAATTTAAAAAATTTAAAAAGAGAGAGAAAAGAAGGCTTGGTGCTGCTCCAGGTGGCACCAGACTTTCGCATCAATCATGTGGTGATGGTTTTAGATACATACAGAATGGAAGACTTGTGAGGTCAGGAAGGCTTCCACTCAGATTTCAGAAGAAGGTCTGGAACACCAGGCAGTGTGCCCCTGAGAGGGCAGTACATGAAGCTGTGAGTGTGAGGCCACAGGTACAGTAGAGACCCCAGAAGTTTACTGAAGCCAGAAATGTGGGTCTCCTAAGGAAAACTGCAAGGATGGAGCAGAGTGGGCCCAGGAAAGGAGCCATGACAGCTACAATCATTGATAGTGCCTTAGGGGAGAGCCAACCAAGCCCTTTAGAATTCACATCTTGCCACAGTGCCTCAGATTCTGCACATGCAACTACAGGACTTAATGTTTGCTCTGCTGGATTTTGAACTTGCTTTATATCATCCTGTTTGCAACTTTTGGAATGGAAATATTTGTCATGCCATTGAATGTTGGACATGTAGACCTTTCATTTCATTTGTACAGTGGCTCACAGTTAAGAGTTTGCCTTAAATCTCAGAGGAGAGTTGGGATTTGGATTTTTTAGCAATTCTGAAACTTAAGCATTTGGAAACTCTTAAAGATGGACTAAATACCTTTTGCATAAAAGGATTTGCATGAGTGTTTGAGGGGCCAGGAGTGGAATGTTATGGCTTGTGTCTAGATGTCCCCCCAAAGGCTCCTGTAGTCATAGGTGAGGCTTTTTTCAGAGATGGCTGAATCTAGGATGTGTGATGCTGGTATTAGGAGTGTGTGATTAGTGAATCACTCCATTGATTGGTTTGGCAGAGTTCTGGCTAGGATTAAGGTTGTGAGTGCTAATACCCACCCCAGAGCAGGCAGCCTGCATATAATATAAGACACAGAAAGATTCTTGTCTTCCCCCCCTTGTTATTTTTGCTGCCTTGTGAATGGTCCACATAGTGTTTCTGAAAGGCAGACATAATATCAGGCCTGCTACGGCTTGGATGTAGTCTGTCCCTCAAGAATGTTGAGTTGCTGAGACCGTAGGAGGTGGATGGTAATTAGGTCAGGGTGGCACCAACCTCAAACTGGAGTCTGCCATCATGCGAGGCCACTCCATGGGCATGGCTCCTCTATACTCAGATTTCCCCTGTCTGCATCTCTGCCAACCATGATACAGACAGGGACCGCGCATCAGAGGCCCAACATATGGGGCCACCCGAGTGTGGGCCGCAGCTTCCAAACAGTGAGCTGAACAAATTCCTTACATGTCAGTCAGCCTCAAGTACTTTGACAGAGCAACACCAAATAGATTAATGCAAGGCCACTTTTAGCCAAAGTTATTTTTAACACAATTATTTTACCCCAAGAAGTAAAGCTCTTTCACCTTGAAAAGCAGAATACTGCCATGAAACTTTCTGTTTCCAGGGAGACTGGTCACTGTTAGCAGCTGCTCCTTGGAGATGTGCCGTTTCGGTAACTGTGAAAGTTCTTCCTATCCTTAGTAGTGATCTTGAACTCAGTTCACAAAAGTATCAACTCACCCTCAGCTACACACACCTTGTCAGTTTCTCCTGCCCAGGAAAAAGAACCACACTTCCAGGATTACGCTTTCTTGTACTCCAAATCCACCCTTAGTGGTGACAGCCTGAGAAGGCTGTGCTTAGTGAGAAAGTGGGCAACTGTACTCAGCTGTCACCAAGACCCGGCCAGCTTAGCATGGTGCCCAGCAGGACCAATGCTAAGAGACCAGTCAAGGTCAGGCAAAGGAGCAAGATGCCCACAGACAGTCTGACCCCTTTGTGCTTTGTCACCCAGAGTGAAGGCGACAGAAAGTAACTTCAAAAAACTTCTGCTGTCCAATTAATGACGTGAAAAGCCAAGTCTGAGGCCCATTCTTTGTGCTTCATTCCAGAACTCCTGCATCACCCATATGGCAAAGCAGCTGTGTTCATTCAGCCCTCTATATCTGCAGGTTCAACAGCCTTGATTTAAAAACAACAACTGGTAAAACTCTCTTGCAAATGATTTCATCTGTACCAAGCAGCTTTCTTGTCATTATTCCCTAAATGATACGGTAAAATAATTATTGACATAGCATTTACACTATGTGAGGCATCTAGAGATGACTTCACACACAGTATGGGTAGCTTCTGTGCAAATACCTTGCCATTAGACACACAGGTCTTGCACACCTGTGGACTTTGGCACTCACACTGATGCTGGAAGGATTTACCCTCAGGTGTCAGAGAATCAACTGCCTTTGTGCATTTTATTTGTATTTTTGATTGTATGTTAAAGAATGAGAATCATCACTGGCACCACAAGAAACCCTTAGAAATAAGAAAGACAGAAAGGCTCTTCAGTCCCGAGCCAGGTATCCCCAAAGGCCCCCTCTTGTTCTTCCCGAGCCTCAGAAACTCCTGGTTGGTATGGAAACCTTTGGCATCTAGTTGTTCCTGATGCTGAAAGAGCTGATGCCCAGGTCTGGGGCAGACTGGGGTACAGCAAGGCTGAGGTAGAGGGGGCAATGGGGGGTCAGCTCCCCTGGAGCTAGCACGGAGTCCACAGCTTGCTTCAGAGCCTCCAGGGTCTCAGGGGCAGCTGAAGGAGATGGCTGGACCCAAGCAGCAGAGGCTGAGCTTGAGGAAGAGCTGAGGGTGCAGAACCCAGCACTGCCCCAGCTGGGCTGGACCCAAGCCAGGGACAGACTTCCTCGGATGCCTTGCCACAGTGGCTCTCCCAATAAACCACGAAAGGAAATCACCAGGTAGGAAGGAAGAGTAATGGCGGGCTTTCTCCAGGGGACCTATCGCTGCATCTGATCCTTTCCTCTCTTTCCTTTTCTTTCAATCTTTCTGTCCCTTCTTTCTCCTTTTCGCTTTCTCTCTCTCTCTTTTTTTTTTTCTTTCTGGAACTATAGATGTGGGTGGCTTGGGGAGGGGCCGTGGGGGAAAGCACTGAAAGTTCAGAGGACCTGGAGCAGAACCAACTCTGAAAGACCAAATTCCAGGCCTGAGAATGTCACATTGTATTAGCGTGAGGTTGGGAACAAGAGATTGGGGCTGACGTTTGAAAGGGTGGATGGGGCTAGAGGTGGTTTTCAGAGTTTCAGCCTCTTTGTTTGACTGGAATGTTTTATTATTTCTCCTCCAAAACTGAGCACTGTTGCCCTCAGTGAAAATAAAAGGAGCTGGGCCCTCACTTTTGTGCTGCCTTGAGTGTGTGGGTGAGGGGAGGCCAGCTTACAGCGGGCTCAGAGGCAGGGACGGCTGTGGAATGCTGCCCGCCATCGTGACTGAGCAGTAATTTAGTTTTCCACAGCAGAGTGGGATTTACGTTCAATTTACAGCCCTCACAGGAATTTCCCCTGCCTCTTATTTGGCCTTGTGAATTTTTTGGCTCTAGTGTCTGTAAGCAGAGGCAAATGTCAACAGTAAGGGGTCTTGCTGACAAAGAAGCAACTCTTTGTAACTCACTGAAGATTTTTTTTAAAATCAAATTCCTAGTTTTGTGAGCATGATTGCGTTTTGTTCAGAATCAGGCACTGGGAACAGGCTGGGAGATGCACAGATGAGTTCTTCAAACAAAGCCTCGCTTGGCCACTTGGCTACCAGGCGGTGCAGGCAGGGAGGCGACGGTGCTGACCTCAGCAAGGCTGTGTGCCTGAGGAGAACCGGGTGGAACTCAGCGCTTTGTCTCCTAAGAGAACAGCAACTTTGTGAGCGCCGCCTGAGGGTTAAGGAAAGGGGTCTGTTTGAGGTACCCAGGTGGCGTCCTTACCAGCAGCAGTGGGCACCCTGTGAGGTCCCGGGGGGCACGACCCATGGGTCGAAGCTTAGCATCTCATTCACGTTCCTTCAAACGGAGGGGTCTGCCACTTTACCCAGTGCTGAGCTCAACTGACCACTCACTCACAGCAGAGATTTGGACCCAGCTTCTTGAAGGTCTTCCAACAAATGAGAGTGTTTCCACACAGAAGGGGCTGCTGTTGGTTGCACTGCTTTCTCTTAACAGCAGGGATTGATGTCACATTGGGCCATAAGAGATGACGCTGGCCTTTGAAAGCTGGCCTTGCACACATGGACTTCTTAAAAACAGATGCTGACATAATGCTGGCACTCAGCTGATGGTGGCCAAGCACTAGGGATATCAGTGTCCGAGTAGATGCACCTGACAAAGGGGTTGGGCTGCGTCTTCTTTCACAAGTGTCTGACTTTCAATAAATCTTGACCATTCCGAAAACCTTAGCCAAAAGTCACCTACCAGAAAGTCATTCTCGCACTGTGGATACAATTCTGTTAGAAAAAGATTTGGCAGGAAAAGGAGGCTATTTCAGGTTCTAAGACTTAAAACAAATTACTCCTATTATAGAAGGTTATGGAGCCTGTAATTTTCTGTATCTGACTTGCATGTTATGAACAAAGCCATCAGTTCCTACTACTCAGAAGTTATTGCTCAGCCAGCTCTGTTCTGGAAATCAATATTTATTATGTACCCAAATGGCCCCTCTGCCAGCCTCAATATTTCTTCTGCTTGTGACACAGAAAATGTGCCATTTTCATTGGATGTGGACTCCAACAGGAATTCCAGTGAATTCCTGGAATGCATCAGTGCCAGTACCACATACACCTGATTCCCATAGCTATGGAATAAATCTCAGAACTGGGTTAATAGAGTCTTTTCATTTTGTTTTTCTAGTGTAGCGATTTTGCCTTTGAGTATCTATTTTAGATTATCTTGTCTATATCTATGAATTTTCATTCTGATTTTTATAGAAATTTCATCAAACCTGACAAATAGTTTGGAGATAAGTGATATCTTTATTACGTTGAAAGGCTTCCGATCCATGAACATGGTACGTCTTTCTATTTATTTAGAGCTTTGATTTCTTGCATCAGCATTCTGTGTTTCCAGCATGCAACCCTTGCACATGTTAGATTTATACTTAAGTACTTCATTTCCTTTTGGACAATTTTAATAGGCATTGTACTTAAATTGTGTCCACATGCTCATTGCTAGCATATAGAAATATAATGAATTTTAAGTGTTATTCTTCTATTAAATAAGACCTTACTGAACTCATTTATTAGTTTTAATTTGATTATTTGTTGATTTTTCAATTGTTTGGAATTTTTTAAATAGAGAATTATGTCATTTGAAAAGGGGAACTTTTCTTTCTTCTTTTCTGACCCATATGCCTTTTCCCCCTTTACTCAGTGCAATGATTAAAAATCTCAATGCTATTTTGTATAGCGTGGGACAGTAAACATTTGTCTCGAACCCATCTCAGGCAAAAGCATTCTACCTTTATCATTAAGTACACTGTTAGTCATGAAGGCTTTGTATATATTTATCCTTACTCCCATTTGTCCCCTGTGAAATTTTATCATGAATAAATATTGAAATTGCTGAAATGCTTTTTCTATGTTTATTGATATTTTCATTTTTTATTTTTTAATCTGTTAGTATTGTGGTTTTCATTGGCTGATTTTTGAGTATTTGATTAGTGCATTGTATCCCTAATAGAAGCCACATTTGGTCATATTGTCTAATCATTTTTATGTTTGTTGAAGTCTATTTGCCAATATTTAAAGATTTTTGAAGCTATATTCATAAGAAATGTTGGTTTATATTATTTATTTTCATAGTATTGTTTTCTTGTTTTGAGTATCAGGGGAACACAAGCTTCAGAAAATGAACTGAGAGGTGTTTTCTAGAAGATACTGTGTATGACTGGAGCAGGAATCACATTGCAGAAGCCAAAGAAAAGTCACTGAGAAGAAAGGGGTGAGGTGGGAGAGGGGCTCTTACCCCGAAACAGAAAATGAATAAGAAAGATGATGCCTGTAGATCAAACTGAACCAACAGACAACTTGAGAAGGAAGTGCCACTCTACTCCGCCAGCCCATGGGCCCTGTTCTTCCGGAGAACAGCTGTTTTGAAAGTTAGGCAAATGAGCTGAGCTAGAGCTGCAGAAACCAGACTCCCAGGGCAGACTAGGCATAGACTAGCCCTTCCGACGTTGCCACTCTCCACACATGGGAAAGATGCATTCCTGCATTCTCTCTGGGATGCACAGAGGGCAGATGAGGCCCTCAGACCCATGCCATAGTGAGGATAAACAGGTGAACTGCATCCCACCAAACTCCACTCACAATCAGTTCGGCTCACACGCTCAACCAGCAGGTGTGAGCCCGCTTGCTCTGACTGTCTGCCCAACCGCAGGCAGGCACATCTGAAGAGCCTGGCTCCAGCCCTGCTTGTCTGCATGCCCATTGGCTCACAGGCACCAGCACCCAACCACAGGCAAAGTTCACTCTGGGCCCACTTTGCATGCCAGCACTCTGCCAAAGTCACCAGAGCATCTGCACAGAGAACAGGGGTGGCCATCTGTGACCAGACTGCAACTAAGACAAGAAGGGGGCTGGGCAAACATTTTGGCCTAAGGCAGGTTGGCACCATAGGAATTGCATACAAGATTTCTTGCTTGAATGCTGGAGCTGGTTTGCTATGGGGGTTATTTTTCTGGGTGTTTGTTTGCTTGCTTGGCTTGGATTTAGTTACTGTTTATTTCTCTCTCTCCTCATCTCCCTACTCGCTTTTCTTAACTCTAGCATCTGCAGCAAAGTTAGCTTTTAATTACTTAGTTTGCTCGCTTTCTAAATTCTCCTTTGCAAGTTCTTTCCCTAAGTCCCATTTTCCCTGTAGACCTTCCCATCTTATCCCCGCCTTAACCTTTGGCACAGTGCACTCTCTTCTTGTTCCACCTTACTGGTTCTCCCTTCCTCTTCTCTGCTTGTAGGTGCACAAATCCATCAGCAGGGTCTGACACCCTCGAAGCATTTCTCAATCCCTAATTGTAACTCTTAACTCCTGTGACAGTATCTGCAGCTATTTTGAGGCCAACAAAGAGGCATCGTGGTAACTGTTGTTGATTTTGTATTGCTTTGAAGTTCTGTATCACTTACACTGGTTTGTTTGGATTGGTTTCATTCTGTTTTATTTTCTTTGGTTTTATACTCTTTAATATAAAGTAATAATAAAAAAGAAGCATCAGATAAACAGGAAACTTCACTTTCACTTAAAAAGTAAAGAAAACAAAGGATCACTGAAATGTTTGGACTAGAACAATTACTTCTTTATAAATAAAGATCTAAATTTTTAAAAATCAAAATAAATTTTAGACTGTATATAGATTGTAAAGCCAGTGATTCAGCTCAAGATTTGTTCCCAACTTTCTACCTAAACTGTCTCCAGCCTACTGATTGTGTAGCATCTGAGGCACTGCAATAATGTACCTTCTTTTGTATTTTCAATGGGTTATTGAAAAGTAACTTCTTATTAGTAGAAATATCTTTCATAGTTTTTTCTGCATGAGCTTCCTAAGGTTGAAACATGTGGAAAAAGCCGTATAGAGAATTTGACAATTCAGTATTTTAAAATTACCACATTCGGAAAAGGGCTGTTTACCATGTGAGACTACAGACGTGACCATGAAGAGACCTGTATGTGTCTTGTCACCAGCGCTGAGAAGGATCTGCAGAGACAACCACCACCCTGTGAGTCCCTCTGCATCCCATCTTCTCGTTCCTCCCTTGACTGCCACCAAGAAGCCCATCACAGGGTTGATGGCCGATGCTGAGCAAACAGATGGAAGGGTGGGTGGAGGAATGAAAACAAATTCTGAATATTTAAACTTCACAACATTTTCCTGATATTTGGAGTTTTTCAAAGAAAAATATTTTCTTCTGGTACCTGTTTGCCTTATTGCCTTCTACTTACAATTGTTTTCTTCAAAAAAAAAAAATGTTGAGAACTCCTATCCTGCAGGAAGGATCTGTAACTTTCTTAGGTGTTTCTCTGTTACTCTAAATATTATTCTTGTACTTTTCTTGGTTTATCCAATTTTGTATGTAATCGAACTCTTAATTGCAAAGTTTGATCTGTTAAGTGAAGTGTCCTTCTGTCTGCTCTCCTCCATCTTGAACCAGAGTTAAAGAGAGAACTCTTGCATTATCGTGTTTCCGTGACTAAGGTTTATCACAACTTTCCTTACTCTGTGTGTGTGTGTATGTGTGTGTACTAGGAACCTATTTCCCTGTCTTTTGGGTCTGGTTCTCTGGGATTCTTTTAATCTTCCTTTTTGTCTAGCAGTGTGTCTTTAATAATCCTCATCATTTCTAACTTCACGGTTTCAGGTCCTTCCTGGCTGGCCTTGGCTGGCTCTTCCATCATGGGAAGCTTATTTTCCCTTCTCTACAGACTTGATTTTGTACTTTACACAAGTATGATCTTAGGTAGCTTTCAAAGAACGACTGAACGTGAAGTAAACTGCCTTGAAGGTCTGAAGTGTGCTCTGGAACATGAGAATTCATTCTTCCCACTCCATTGTAAATGTATGTGCACTAATTAGCGTTTCTGCTCCCTTCCTCCCTCCTCGGCTTCTTGTGAGTCCTGTTCCATGCTCTGCTTTGACCATGTAAGACCAGATTTTTTTAGATTTTACATATTAGACAGATTCCGTGGCCCTTCTCTTTCTATGTCTGCTCATTTCAGTTAACCCGTGTCCCTTAGATTCGCCCATGTCATTCCAGTGGCAGGGCTTTATCTTTTTCACATCCTGACTGGCACTCTGTTGTGTGTGGGGGCCACGTTTCCCTTCTCTGTGCATCCACTGATGGACGCAGAGTGATTCTGTATCTTGGCTGTTGCAAACCGTGCTGCCATAAAGGCACCCATGAAGGCAGTTCTTGTTTTGCTTTAAGACTGATGTTGTTTTGGAGTTAGCAAAATTTTCTTTGTAATTGTATTCCTGAAATTTCATAATTATCTATCTTCATCTATCACTGCTTTTAAAATGTATCACATTGAACTTTTAGATGATATATCCAACCTAGAAGTATATATATATATGCCCTTCAGTCCTAAAAATTGTATTTAGTTCTTTGATTTAGTTCTTGATCTGTTTTCCTTCACTCACTGAACATAATCCAGACAATATTTTTAAAAATATTTTGTCTTGTAAACCAAGTGTCTGGACTTCCTCAGGGATGGCTCCTTCCCGTGTGATTTGTTCATTTGAGTAAGTCATTGCTTTCTATTTCTTTACATGCCTTGTGGGAATTTCGTCATAAATTCAGCACGTGACTATTATAACATGGTAACTCTGGAAATCAGAAAATACTAAAAACTGTTTTAATTGTTGAAGCAGAAGAAAAGTCCTACTTAGTGTCTTCATCCTTCCTCCTAGGGTGTATTTGGGGCCCCCAAGCCCTAGAATTTCCTAGACAGCCATGCCAAGCTCACTTCCTCTAGGTCTCCTCCTGAGAGCTGACTACCTCTACAGTATGCACCGCAGCTCAAGGGCAGGATTTGGAGCTATGGGATAGGTGTCCACAGATGTAGGCCTGACACCTGAATACCCGGGTACAGGAGTACCTGTGTACAAAGAGGACACCTTCGGGCTGGTCACTGGGCTATAACCAGGGATTTAAATATTTAAAGATACACCATGCAGACCATTCTCTGTGCCTTGCCTTGCTTTTAGGTGGTTCTGGTTCAGGAAGCATAAGTCACAGGAGACTTTATTGGACCTCATAGGGACAGATGCATCTAAACAAGCAAATAACAGGATCAAAAACTGGTTTCCAAATTGTCCATGTGAGGTTCAGTCGAGCTGGCATAAAGCTGGGAGGAAGTGGCCTTAGCGCAGACCAAACATTCACAGATGGAGAACATGGGTTTTGGGGTGGACTGAATCAGGGGAACCTGGCCAAGTTACCTGTCCATGTCTCCTTTCCCAGAGCTGTACACAGAGCTAAGGACTCTGTAAACCATCTCCCACAATGTGCAAACGTGGGCTCCTTCTCCTGCCACAGTTGAGGAAAATTTTTACCTCAGTGAAAAACCCTGGGTGTGACCTGGAGAGCCCATTCCAGAGTGGGCTCCTCCCCTAGAAAGGAAGTGGAATTCTCCTCTGAGCTGCACCTGGGTCTGTGGGAGTGGGAATGGGTGCCTAGAGATATGCAAGGGAGTGCAGTGAGCCACAGGACCCTCCATCCAAGTGTGTGTGTTTGTCGCTGTATCCCTGCGGGTCACTTACAATGAGCCCCTGGCTGGGTCTCTCTGCTGCGTGGGGCTGCTGTGTTTCAGCCTGAAATTCCCACGCTGATGACAGCGTTCGGTGACTTTTGCAGGTCAGTTGCTTTCTGAGAATCTAGCATCATCTGGTAAAAGCTTCAAGACTTCCTCAAAATATGATGGGAATAACTGTCTCTGGATTTCCCCTAAGAATTGATATGGGATATATTTTCCCTTGTTAATTTAAAAAAAGAAAGAGCAACTGTAGTCTGCGTTGTGTTAGGAAAAAGAGAGAAATCCCAGATGCTGTCTATCCTGGGCTTCGGTGCAACCTGGGTTGGGCGGATCATGGGCCTTTGGGTGCAGGAGACCACGAGAGCAGGGCTTTTCAGGACACGGTGCCCTGCCCACACTCGGGGCGAGGGTGGCCCTGTCACTCTGCCTCCCTAGTGTTCACCTGGAGCACCTCAGAACAAGCAAAATTTCACATAAAGGAAACAGAAGGATTTGCTGTTTACTGTATGCCAGTTATAAACTCAGTTTCCTGAGATTCAGCCCATTCTCCTGCCAGAGTCAATTTAGCTACACAAGGTATCGGTTTGTTCATCTATGCAGTGCACTGAGCAGGTGGGCCAAGACCTTTAGGTTTTTTGTTTGTTTTGTTTTTGTTTATGTTTATGTTTTTTATTGTAATTAAATTAATTACAGAAAGAGAAGTTTATACAGTCAGATACAGGGAACACTCAGCTCTGATTACCCCTGTGCAGCTACCCTTGCTCAGGACCTGGGTGGGGGCTGAAGCTTAGTCCGCCCTGTCTATGCTCCACGTGGCTGCCGGGGCTGAGTGACCGGTGTGAGCCAGGTCCCCTGAGGGCACTGGGGACCTGGACCACGCATTGGTGAGGAGGGTGAAAATAGCAGAGTGTGTGTGTGTGAATTCCTCCTCCTGTGACTGCATTTTACAGAGCGCCTGCCTCTGCCTGGGCATGAGCTGGGGGCTCACTTAGTGGGTCCCCTCCAGTGAGTGTTTGTTTAGTCTGTAGGCTCTACACCAGGCCGTGTTCCAGCAGCTAGAGAGGTGGCAATGAGTGAAACAGACACTTCCTGTCCTCTCCACATCATGTGAGGCTCCTGCACTCTTCCTAATGTTGCTGAAAGAAGCAGTCACCACCCCCAGTTCATTTGGGAAGAGCCAAAGCCAGAAACATCCATGTTCCCAGGGCTGTAAGCTCAGGGGCCCAGAATTCTGAGCCTGCCCTTCACCACACAGCCCAAAGGCTCTGCAGGCTTTGGAGACCTGGTTCATTCATCTGTGAAATGGACATTTAAAACACCTGCTCAAAAGTTAGGACGCTCAATGCAAGGAAATTCCACTGGGCAAGAGTCTCTAAGATTGTGATTAAGGTTATAGAATTAGGGTGCACAACCCAGGCCGACTTCTCTCTCTCAGGGTCTTTCTGAGATCCTTGTGTGGTCACAGAAGAGGCTAAATGAACACAATAACAAGGACAGAGCTTCACAGAGAGCTGTCAAAAAGAGGAAGGCAGAGGGGACCTGGAGGTGAGAGGACAGGAGACAGGTCCCAGAGGGAGCAGTTACATGGAACAAGGGCCCAGAGGGTGTTTGCAGGAGGGAGAGGTAGAGGCCAGGAGGAAGACAGGTTGGAGAGGGGAGTGCAGATGAGGCCTGGTCAGGGTGAGGAGGAGAAGGAAGATGGGAAAACCGCAGATGCCAGCCCTGAAGACTGGGGACCAGGGCAGCCCACAGCTGCCCTCTCCAAGCCCTGAGAGTGGAACCGGAAGCAGACAACATGTGCTCCCCAAATGAGCCCTCCCCGTGCTGTGCCCTTCCTTAGAGAAAATGGATCCCTGCTCCCTCCTGTGTGTCTCCTCCCCCAGGGGAGTATATCTTGGTGTGAGTCATTCCAGCGTCCACAAGTCCATCTGCAGGGCCACATCCATCAGTGGTGGCAGTGGCCTCAATCTTTCTCATTTCCAATGATAGCATGCCCCAGAATCCTTCCCTGGAATCACTTACCTCCATCAGCAGTGGCAGAACCCAGAAGTCCCCTTCCTGAGTCAGCTCTGCTAGTGGTGATAAGCGATGGCCC